TAAATAAAAAGTGGAATTTGAGCCATTTTGAACATTTTGTTATTTTTATTTACGACAGACTCTCTCTCTCTCTCTCTCTCTCTCTCTCTCTCTCTCTCTCTCTCTCTCTCTCTCTCTTTCGGTGAACGAAACGAACGAACGGACAAAATTTGTATAAACGTGAAATCCGATCTAAAATCTCTTTAGTGGATTTATTTTGTTTTTTTTTCTCTTTTTAGTTTTTGTTTTCGAAAAAGGGTTTGGATAAAGTGGAAGGGTAGATTTACTCGGTAGAAAATGAACGCTCGGCCGCGCTCATTTCCCTGTCTGTGAAAATCTGCTTTTGCCCTTGTCGTCTTGATAAGCCTTTATATATATATACATATATACAGTCGCCATGGACTACTGGGTTCATGCTTTTTGTCATCCCTAAAAGAAATGAGTTCCGGTTGATGGAAATTGTCTACCCCCCTCCCCCCCAAAATAAAAAGAGAAATTCAATAATATGTTTAATTAGACGTAGTAATTATTTTTACTAATCTAACTAAATTTACGGCCTTCCTTCACTTTAAAGATAGTAAAATCCTTTTTTAATTTATTATTATTATTATTATCTTTTAAATATTTTTATAATAATAATAATAATAATAATAATAATAATAATAATAATAATAATAATAAAACTAATTGTAATAAAAATAAATATAAAATAAATTAAATTAAATACTGAAAGTTAATGATATAATAATTATTATAAGGAATTTGAAAGCAACGAATATAAAATAAAAATATACAAAAACCCAGCGTTTCACTAATAATAACAATTATCCATTATTTAAAAAAAAATAAATATTTAAATAATAAAAACAAAAAAGAAAGCAAAAAATAATAACAGTGGTACTAAAAAGCCAGGGTGCAGAAAAGGTGCGAGTAAAACTCTTCATTATTATGAGTATAAAATAAAAAAACAAAATAAAAAGGAGAAAAAAAACTGTGCGCAAATTTCAGTTGCTCTCGAACAAAGTTAAAATAAAAATGGTAATAAGCAACGTTTACACATAAAAGAAAAGAGAGTAGTGAGCTTTTTTTCTCTCTCTCTCTCTCTTGCTCCTCTTTTTGTTGGCGGGCATATTTCCGGAAGAAGATACCCGGGGTACGTGGATATAAAGTCTTCTTTTATAGCGGAAAGAATGTGGGTCATATGGATTTGCGTACAGGGTTTATGAGAAAAATACTTTAAAACTTAAATTCTCATTTTTTTTCTCCTGTGTATTGTTGTTTTTTTTTGCATATACATATATTAATTTACAAGAATAACCCCATTCGTTCTTTTCTTTTATAACTTCTCACAATTTTTTTTTTGCATTTATTTTTTCTAATTTATTAGTTTTCTAAATTTTTGTTCATTAATTTTTAATTTTTTTTTTAATAATTATTTTTTTTATTTATTCATTATTGTCTATTTATTTATTTGTTATTACTACAAATTTAATTATTATTTTTTTATTTTCATTTTTTATTTATTTTTTTTATTTATTTTTTATTATTATTTTTTTATTTTTATTTATTTTTTAATTTTGTTTATTTCTTAATTATTTTTTTTAATTATTTACTATTGTTAATTTATTTATTATTGTTATTATTAATCTTTTTTGCATTATTACGTCTTAATTATTATTAATTTTAACTATTTATTATTGTTAATTTTTTAAATATTATTATAACTACTATTTTTAAAAACGAAAAAAATCTTAGGTCGTGAAGAATCGAACCCCGGACCTTGTTGTTAATAACCGAGTACAAAGACCATTTAGCCATTTCACATTAGTAATTTTACTCGATTTTACTAACTGTTTGTTAATTTTAATCGTTTTCCTTTTTTTTTGTTCGTTAATTTAGTAAAATGGTTTATTAATTAATTCACTTTTTTAATTTAATAATTATACAATAGTAAAAAAATAAAATAAAAATAAATACATTAAATAAAAAAATAAGAAAAAAATAAAATAACCAACGATTTATTTAAATAATAAAAATAAATAAAGAAGTAATTAATAACACCAATAGAGAACAATAATAAATAAATAATAAAAAAATTCAAAATTCAAAAAATGAAAAGAAAAAATTATTTTTTTTTAAATTTTGATGTATAAATAAAAAGGCAACTTTTCTCTTTTCAACTTGTATGAATATTATACTATAAAGAAAATTGGATAACGAAAAAGTCTTTAATGAAAAGTAACAGGCTTTCAAACTTGACTGTTCGTCCTTATTTCTTAAAAGCGCACACGGAAAGGGGATTTATTCCAAAAGTTTAAACTTGGATGTATTCTTGGGAAACAAGCTTTAAACAATTCACCAAACTTTCCATGCGCAAGTTGCCATCTCTCATTTTTTCGCAATTCTCTCTCTCTCTCTCTCACTCTCTCTCTCTTCGAGTCTCATCCAATAATTCGAACATGTTATAAACTCATATAGAATATATATCTGTATGTATATAGAAAATTATAAACACTGCTCACAGAATTTTCAACTTTTTAAAAACTTTTCGAAATTTCTTTTTTTATTTGCAAACTATATATTAAAAATTGGAAATTAAAAAACTTTCTAATACATTTTTCTTGTTAAGGGGAAAAAAGGGAGAATATTTTTATGGTTAATTGATTTTTAAATTTTATTACTTTTTTAACTGTTTGATTATTTTAAAATTACTATTTTAGCATTTTACTATTTTTAGTAATTTAGTATTTTAATGTTTTTAGTAATTTAGTATTTTACTGTTTTTAGTAATTTAATATTTTACTTTTTTTAGTATTCTAGTATTTTAGTATTTTAGTATTTTAGTATTTTACTATTTTAGTATTTTACTATTTTAGTATTTTAGTATTTTAGTATTTTAGCATTTCAGTATTTTACTATTTTAGTATTTTAATTTTTTACTATTTTACTATTTTAGTATTTTAACACTTTAATATTTTTATTAATTTACTATTTTAGTATTTCATTATTTTACTATTTTAATATTTTACTATTTTACTATTTTACAATTTTAATATTTTAATATTTTACTATTTTACTATTTTACTATTTTACTATTTTCATAGTTTACTTTATCAGTATTGTACCTTTTTCATTATTTTAGTATTTTACTATATTAGTACTTTACTATTTGCAATATTTTATTATTTTACTATTTTAGTATTTTAGTATTTTAGTATTTTAGCATTTCAGTATTTTACTATTTTAGTATTTTAATTTTTTACTATTTTACTATTTTAGTATTTTAACACTTTAATATTTTTATTAATTTACTATTTTAGTATTTCATTATTTTACTATTTTAATATTTTACTATTTTACTATTTTACAATTTTAATATTTTAATATTTTACTATTTTACTATTTTACTATTTTACTATTTTCATAGTTTACTTTATCAGTATTGTACCTTTTTCATTATTTTAGTATTTTACTATATTAGTACTTTACTATTTGCAATATTTTATTATTTTACTATTTTAGTATTTTAGTATTTTAGTATTTTAGCATTTCAGTATTTTACTATTTTAGTATTTTAATTTTTTACTATTTTACTATTTTAGTATTTTAACACTTTAATATTTTTATTAATTTACTATTTTAGTATTTCATTATTTTACTATTTTAATATTTTACTATTTTACTATTTTACAATTTTAATATTTTAATATTTTACTATTTTACTATTTTCATAGTTTACTTTATCAGTATTGTACCTTTTTCATTATTTTAGTATTTTACTATATTAGTACTTTACTATTTGCAATATTTTATTATTTTACTATTTTAGTATTTTATTATTTTAGTATTTTAATATTCTACTATTGTACTATTTTAATAGCTTAGTATTATAGTATTCTAATATTTTACTATTTTTAGTACTTTCCCGATTTACTATTTTTCTTATTTAATGTTTTACTATTTTAGTAATTAAATATTTTTTACTATTTTAATATTTTAGCATTTTAGTATTTTTAGTATTTTACTATTTTACTAGTTTAGAACAAAAGTATTTTAGTATTTCAATATTTTTATATTTTTAGTATTTTTCTGTTTTAATATTTTACTATTTTAATGTTTTAGTACTTAATTAAATTAAATATTTTTATTATTTCAGAATTTTACTAAATTTTCTATTTTAGTATTTTACTGTTTTAGTATTTTTAGTAATTTAGTAATTTACTATTTTACTAGTTTCGTATTTCAGTATTTTAATATTTTTACTATATTTACTATTTTAGTATTTTTCTACTTTAGTTTTTTTCTATTTATACTATTTAATTATTTTTCTGTTTTGTAGTATTTTGCTATTTTTAGTAATTTAATATTTAAGTATTTTCCTATTTTTAGTAATTTAATATTTTGCTATTTTTACTATTTTACTATTTTAGTCTTTTGCTAATTTTAGTATTTTAATATTTTATTATTTTTAGTATTTTATTAATTTACTAATTTAGTATTTTAGTAATTTAGGATTTAAATATTTTAAATATTTTCTTATTTTAATTTTTTACTATTTTAATTTTTTTTAGTATTTTACTATTTTTACTATTTTAATTTTTTTTTATTTTACTATTTTTACTATTTTCATTATTTCAGTACTTTACTATATTTACTATTATTTTAGTATTTTTCTTTTGTTTTTCATTCTATTGTATTAATTTGCTATTTTCACTATTTTATTATTTTAGGATTTCGCTATTTTTACAAATTTAATATTCTAGCATTTTAATTTTTCCCGTTTTATTATTTTATTATTATGTTTACTACTTTTGTATTTTAGTATTTTTTTGTTTTTAGTATTTAATCTATTTTTACTATTTTAGTATTTTAGTATATTATTTCACAATTTTACAATTTACAATTTCAAAAAAAAACACAAAACAAAAAATTATAAGTTTTATAGAAATATTAGTTTAGGACTAAATAAAAAAATTTTCTAAAGAGATACGGAAGGGATTAATAGAATAGAAATATTAGAATTAATAATAGAATATATTAAATTTATTAAAATTAAGATATGCAAAACATGTACAAAATTATTCGCTATTTGACGAAATATTATCCATTGTTTGTAGTTCGCTCCAAAATAAATTTAACCCCGTACCTCGGGGTTAAAAATTAACACTTCTAACCCCCAAGGTAAGGGGTTAAAATAAATTTAACCCCGTACCTCGGGGTTAAAAATTAACACTTCTAACCCCTAAGGTAATGGGTTAAAATAAATTTAACCCCGTACCTCGGGGTTAAAAATTAACACTTCTAACCCCAAGATAAGGAGTTATAATAAATTTAACCCCGTACCCCGGGGTTAAAAATTAACACTTCTAACCCACGAGGTAAGGGGTTAAAATAAATTTAACCCCGTACCTCGTGGTTAAAAAATTAACATAGGTAAGGTAAAAATTAACATAGAGGTAAGGGGTTAAATTTATTTAGGGCGTAACTTATGTATTAACATAACTTAACCCTGGAAAATTTCATGGTGAACTTAATTTTGACTGTTTTTAATGTTCACCCTAAAAGAATTTAATTTAATAAATTGAAAAATGTTAATTTTTAACCTCGAGGTACGGGGTTAATTGTGCTTAAGCATTATTGATGTTTAGACCTTCGTTAACTTTTAGAGGGCCGGTAAATTTACACAGATTTTAGTAGTTTTTTATTAAGAAAAATTTACAAATAAGAAGTCGATTCGATAAAAAGATTCGGCCACTATAGTGGCAACCCTGTCCCTCTAAAGGTTAACCCCCCAGTTAACCCTAATGTCTGAATGCCAAAAAACCACTTAAAGCATTGAAAACACTCGAAAACACATTGCACACTTTATTTAATGTTATAGGTTCCAAAAAGATTCAAATTAAGTTTTTCTTTGTTTGAACCCCCAACTCACTTTTTTACTGGTCCACGAAGAAACCTTCGAAATCACTTGGTCGGTTCGTTTTGGCTAATCACTTTTTTCTTCTTACTCTTAACACCAATGAAATCAAAAATTTTCTCAGCAAACGGACTCGCCGCTTTCGTCCGAACAAGATGAAACCCACGATAGGTCCTGTTCACTCTATCGCCAGCGAGGACGGCCGGGAATCTCGGTGGACACAAACCCAGCAAATAGGACAAAAATCCAGGACATGGCCAACCCCAAAAGCCCACATTTGTATTCACCGACTCGGCGAAGTAGAGCGCTGCTCGATGATGATTGCAGCCAAACGGATTTCTCTTCTCCCAACAACCGGGTTGATTAATGCCTCCGTTCATGTAGAAATCAATGTGTCCCACAGCTTCCATTTTGCCTTGCACGAAGGCATTTGTATGAAAAACATCGACGAACTCAGCATCGCTTTTGTCCAGTTTCTCATCGTTGCCCACGGTCACGAAAAGTGGCATCGCCGGATCCAAACCTGTGATTCGGGATAATTGGTAAGGTTTTAGATAGTTTGCGGAAAATGCCGGCACATGGGCACCTAGACTGAAGCCAATCACGTGGATGTTGTTGGCCTCAATGTCGCGGAGACGGTTTATCAGTTGGGCCAAACAATTGCCAACGTGGGGGACGTTGTGTACCGCGACTGGATAGCAGGGTCCGTTTGACAGTCGTTCCCAATCGACGGCGATTATATTGTAGTTCTCCGGACGTTTCAGGTACTCGTTTCTAATGTCCACTAGGGCACTCAATTGCATATCGGAATTATAACCGTGGATTATGATTTTAGTCGGATATTTGGGATCGAAGAAGGTTGATGGTATGTTCGATGATGTTGAGTTGACGAAGATTTGTTGTGGGTCAAGGGGATTCGATTTGCTGTAGAGGAAGAACTGTATTTCTGGATCTGGACAAGTTGAGTTTGTTTTCACCAGACATGGTCCGAGGAAGAAGTCACGACCTGTTGATTCGTTCTTTTCGATCAGGTTTTGTAGATCTGGTATTTGGGCTAGAACATCGTGGAGAAAGGTTGTTGTCATCAGGAAGAAGGATATGGTGAGGAGCATGCACTTTTTTGATGATGGGTGCTCGTGCCAGGACATTTTTGATGATTTGTCTGGTGTTTGATGAAGTTGGTTTATGGATATTGATGATGATATTGTTGATAGTGGTGGTGTTTTAGTTGCTGTTGTTGTTACTGGTGTTGCTATAGTTGATACTAATGTTGTTTTAGTTGCTGTTGTTGATACTAGTGTAGTTATAGTTGATGCTGATGTTATAGTTGATGCTGATGTTGTTATAGTTGATGCTGATGTTGTTATAGTTGAGACTGATGTTGTTATAGTTGAGACTGATGATACAGGTATTGTTATAGCTGCTAATGATGATACAGCTGTTGATATAGCTGCTAATGTTGATACTGGTGCTGTTTTAGCTGCTAATGTTGGTACTTGTGTTGTTGTAGCTGCTACTGCTGAAACTGGTGTTGTTTTAGCTGCTGCTGGTGATGTTACTGTTGATATTGTTCCTGCTGCTGATGGTTCTAGTGGAGCTTCTTGAATTTCGTCTTCTTCTGATTGGTGAATTTCTAAAACTTCAGTAATTCTTTGTGGTTGATAACATGTTTCGTGTGTAGTATTTGGTTGTGTACTTCCTTCTGGTTTATAAGTATGGACAAGTACAGTTATTACAGTTGTAACTTTTGGTCCATAACTTAGTACAGATGATGCTTCTAATGCTTGACTTTCTAGTGCAGATGATGCTTCTAGTGGTTCAGTTTCTTTTGGGTCAGAACAAGGTACAGATGATGCTTCTAGTGGTTCAGTTTCTTTTGGGTCACAAGATACAGATAATGCGTCTAGTCGTTCAGTTCCTTTTCGGTCACAACAAGTTACAGATGATGCTTCAAATACCTGACTTCCTATTGCAGATGATGCTTCTGATAGTTCACTTTCTTTTGATTCACAACTTGATGCACTTGATGCTTCTAATGCTTCATGTTTTAGTGCAGATGATGCTTTTAGTGGTTCATTTTCTTCTGGTCCATAACTTACTGCAGATGATGTTCCTAATGCTTGACTTTTTAATACAGATGATGCTTCTAATGGTTCAGTTTTTTTTGGTTTAAAACTTGATGCAGATGATGCTTTAAATACTTGACTTTCTAGTGCAAATGATGCTTCTAGTGATTCAGTTTTTTTTGGCTCACAACAAGGTACAGATGATGCTTCTAATGCTTGACTTTCTGGTGCTTTAACTGAAGCTTCTAGTAGTCGACTTCCTTCCGAATAAAAACTTGATGATGATGATGATGCTTCTAGTGGTTCACAACTTGATGCACATGATGCTTCTAATACTTGATGTTTTAATCCAGATGATGCTTCTGGTAATTCACTTTCTTTTGGTCCACAAACTGTTGTACATAATGCTTCTAATTCTCGACTTTTTCGTGGTTGACAAATGGATCCTAATGGAGGTTTTAGTGCTTTACAAATTAATGCTGATTGGGGTTCTAATGCTTCAGAAATTAATGCTGACAGGGGTTCTAATGCTTCACAACTTGATGCTGATGAAAGTTCTAGTGCTTCATAAATTGTTGCTAATGGAAGTTTTAATGCTTCACAACTTAATGCTGATTGGGGTACTAACGCTTCACAACTTGATGCTGATTGGGGTCCTACTGCTTCACAACTTGATGCTAACGGATCTTCTAATCTTTCGCAACCTAAAGCTAATCTAAATTTTCCTATTTCACTATTTCCTCGAGATTCTCCAACCGGATCACAATTAACAGTCCTCACTCGATATTGACAACTATCCGCACTCACAATGTCCAAAGCACATTCACTACTAGCACAACGTTCCTGATCGTTCCCCAGTCGATAGACATCTACCACTTTTCTTTTCTTCCTAAAAATATTCCATTCCTTCCCCTTCTCCTCTTCCTCCTCCTTTTTCTTCTTTTTGTTTCCGCCCCTAGACAACCGTTCCTCTTCCGTCTCTTCTTTCACTGTCAAGAATGAGAGAATGGTTTTTTGTTATATTCGTTGTCGATCGTGGTCAAGACGGCAAATGACAAATGTCATTTATGCCTCTACGTATAAACATATAAATATTAAAGTCAGGGCCACAATCGAGTTGATGAAAACTAGCTGATTGCGCGCACACAACAACGTACACTGAATTTATAAACATTTTCAGCGTGACTTTTATACGATAAGTCGGATTTCTTTATCGTACCGCCAATGTGTAAGAGTGATAGATGATGGAGAAAAAGTAGGCGACAATGAATAGATCGGTGCGGTGAGGACTTTTTTTTCTTTTTTTTCATTTTGGATTCGAGCCAAATGAGAATCGATATTTCAGACAAGGTACGAGGGTTTTTTTCTTTCTTCTTTTTTTTTGAAAATTTTTTTACTTAAATATTTGTCAAAAAAAACTTTTTAAAAATTAGGTTTTTAGAATACAAATCGTAATAGTATTGAGTGCTGCTAAAAAATAATTAAATGTCACAACTGGAAAAATCAAAAATTCTCTAAATAGATGATAGAGTAAAATTTAAGAGTAAAAATTCAAATTTTTTTAAGTAGTAAAAATTCAGTAGATTTTGAAAAGTACAATTCAGCAAAATTCACTTCTTTAAAAATTGTTTATATTCAAGAATGAAATTCAGCATAATAGAGTAAATAAAAAAAAAATACAGAAAAGCATTGAACTTGAAATAAATAATGACCTTCGATTACAAGTTTATCACTGTAAATTGCAGCAATGGATAAATTTATAAATCGTTGTTTATTTATTCAAGATTGCGGAAAAAATCTTTTTTGCAAAAAATATCCCCTTCTCCTATTTTCCCATGTGTGAAACACCCCCTCCCCCCATTTTACCCATTTGTGACAATCCCCCTCTATTTCCCCCCCCCATGTGTGTAAATATCCCACAAAATAAAAAAAGGGGGGGGTTATTTGCACAAATGAGAAAATAGGGGGAGGGATTCGCATAAATGGAGAAAATGGAGGGGATATTGGCAAAAAATAGGGAAAATAGAGAGGAAGGGGTATTTTTTCCTCAAATTAGTAAATATTCTTCCTCTTGAATACCTTATACTTCCGAAATGTGAGAAAAGAAAAAGTAAAGAAAGAGAAAAAAAAAAGATTGTATCTGCGCATCTATTTCGTTATTCGGAAGTCATGGCTGGAGAAAGCAGTGGTATTTCCGGTAGTGAAGTGAGATATGTATATACAACACGATTTGAAGGTGAAAAGAAAAAGATTGTGATTCTTATTTCAGTGACATATACATAGATATAATGCACGTGACTCAATTTATATTCAGAACATTCAATATATCGTCGACCGAGTGAGAGAGAGAGAGAGAGAGGGGGGGGGAACTCGCTCACGTACTATTTATTATTTTTATTTTCAATAACGAAAAAATTAAAAAAAAAAAATTTACTCGTGCATTTAAAGCAAAAATAAAACAGAAAAGAATTAATATCGTATAATTTATTAAATTCTCTCTCGAAAAAGAGAATTTTTTTTTAAAAATGGAATTTTCATTTTTTTAAATTTATTTTCATTGGCATTTATTTACTTATCCGTTTGTTTATTTAATTCAGTTTTAATTTATTTTCCATAATACAACAAAAAATATCTGTTTACAATATAAAATCATCTTGATTTCAATTTGTTTTTTTTATTTTCTTGTATATAATAATTAAATTTTTTATTAATTTACTCATTTTAATTGTAATTGTAATTTATCTATTTACTTTTTAATTCAATTTACTTATTTTTAATTGTTATTTATTTAAAAATTGATTTTTTTAAATTAAAATTTGTTCTAATTGAAAAGTTGAAAATTCGGCTCATTTAGTATTAGGTTATCCGAACTAAGATGGCGGACGACCGTTGGTGCGCATGCGTCAGTACTACTCTCTTATTGGTTGGGAAAAGGCGCGATATTTGAAATGCTTAAAATTATATTCTGATAAAAATCGCATTTTTTTCTTCATAAAGATAATTAATAATTAAAAATAAATAACTTGCTAATAAATAGTAAATTCAAAATGATAAAATAAACAAATAAATGATAATATTAATAACAATAATGATCATGATAATAATATTTAAAAAAAACAATAATGATCATGATAATAATATTTAAAAAAAACAATAATAATAATGATGATAATATAAACAATATTAATAACAATTGTTATTGTTTTATTGCTTTTTTGTTATTATTGTTATAATTGCTATTGTTATAATTGTTTTTGTTATATTGTTTTTTGTTGTTATTGTTATTGTTACAAATTGTTATATTTTTGTTATAACTATTGTTATATTGTTTGTTATTGTTATTATTGCTATTGTTATAATTGTTTTTGTTATATTGTTTTTTGTTGTTATTGTTATTGTTACAAATTGTTATATTTTTGTTATAACTATTGTTATATTGTTTGTTATTGTTATTATTGATATCATTACAATTATTTTTGTTATATTGGTTTTTGTTGTTATTGTTATTGTTATAATTATTGTTATATTGTTATATTTTTGTTGTAATTATTGTTATATTGCTTGTTAATGTTAAAATTATTTTTGTTATATTGTTTTTTTTGTTATTGTTATAATTATAATATAATTATAATAATTTTATTATTAAATCCTTTCAGTTTTTGTTTTTTCTGCAAAAAAAACTCTTTACATTTTGTTTGCATTTTAAAAAGAAAAAAAAAGTTTTTTAAAAAAAAAGTTTCCAAAATTGAAATCTGGGTTGAATTCTTTTTTTTTATCGTAATTCATTTTTTGAATTCGAGTTTTCTTTTTTTTTGCCATTCATCTCGCTTCGTTTCTCGTCGAGGATATCATCATATCAATGTCCCTTTGCAAATATAAATAAATATATAAAGAGAGAGAGAGAGAGAGAGAGAGAGAGAGAGAGAGAGAGGCACGTACACGTGTCGATTACTTTATCGCACGAAAGTTATGATTTCCGTTTAGTCGGCTCTCGATTGTTTCATCATTCAACGATGCCCCGACAAGTAAACAACTCTTCAGATACAACATACAATAAGCTTTTTCAAGTAGAAAAAAGCTTTTTTATGTCATTTGTGAAAAATTGTTATTTTCTGCTAAACAAAAATTTTTCTTTTTGAAAAAAAAGACTTTTTTGAAATTGAGAGCTTTTTGGGTAAAAAAATTATTTTTTGGAAAAAAGAGCTTTTTTCGAAACTTGACTTTTCTGGAAAAAGTTAAACTCATTTCTGTAAAATTACTTTTTTAGGAAGAAGAGCTTTTTTGGAAACACGACTTTCCTTTTAAAAAAAGCTTTTTGGAACGATTTATATTTTGGAAAAAAGCTTTCTTTAAACTGAGCTTCTCTGGAAACAAAACTTTCCAAAAAAAAGGCTTGTTGGGAAAAATACTTTTTTAAGAGAAAAAATATTTTAAAAATAGACTTTTGGAAAAAAATTACAAAAATAACAAAAGAGAAAAAAGTACCTACAATAATAGAAAAATAAAAAATTTAAAAAAATATAAAAATAGATAAAAAGTACAAAAATGCAAAAAAATACAAAAAAATCAACATAATAAGAAAAGAGTAAAAATAATTAACAGGTAAATAAAAAGAGTAGAACGCTAAGGCAATATTTACAATTTACAAACTTGTTTGGTAAAGTTCTTTCGGAAGTTAACCGGGAAGTAAAGACCATATATTTATTCAAGTTACGAAAGCCAGTTATAAAAGCTCGTTAACACCGAAGAAGAGTAAACTTTCGGAAATTGTTCTTTTATAATTTATTTGGAGAAACAAGTTTTTAGGTTATTATATTGAGTAGCGTTGGTCGGTAAGTTATCCTATGAATTTTGTAAAACGTACCTTAATTCCCGGGGGAGGGGTGCAATAATTTTTGAGGATACTTTTGTTTGACCTTTACCACTAGGCACTACTATGGCACTGTGGAGTTTTCAATCGCGGTTAGTGTGAGTCTCGATTTAATGGAGCGTGTTGACTGGATAACACACACACACACACACACACACTATATATATATAGGATATTGGGAGATTTATTAAGCCTTTTGCAAAGAAGAGGAAGAGGGACGATGCGATGCCTCGAGTGCAATTGTGAAACCACCACCACGTCAAGGGCGAGTTTACACGCGGCTAGATAGGATAGTTTACATATATCCGTTTCTCTTTAATAACACACAGGCACACTCTTGTGTGCACTAGAGGCACCCGTATGAACGGGGCTTAACGGTCATTTGTTGCTGTTTTTAGTTGTCACAATTTTATTCTAAAGAGGATTTTTTTTCTTTTCGTTAACCTTTTTAGTTTATAGAATTTGTTTTAGCGGTGAATTTTTATTTGAGAAAAATTAAAAAATACTAAAAAGGTTCTCGAATAAGCTGAATAGTAGAGAAAATAGAAATAGTTGAAAAAAAATGTAGAATAATTTTAAAAAGTGGAGAAAATAGTACAATAATTGGAAATAGTACGAGCAATAGTAGAAAATAGTAAAAAATACTAGAAAAAATAGTAGAACAATTGGAAATAGTAGAAAAGTAGTACAACAATTGGAAATAGTACGGAAAATAGTAGAAAATAGTAGAAAAATAGTAGAACAATTAGAAATAGTAGAAAATAGTGCGAAAAATAGTAGACAATTGGAAATAGTAGAAAACAGTACGAAAAATAGTAGAACAATTGGAAATAGTAGAAAATAGTGCGCAAAATAGTAGAGAATAGTAGAAGAATAGAAAGAGTAGAAATAGCTGAAAAATAGTAGAACAATTGGAAATAGTAGAAAATAGTACGAGAAATAGTAGAACGATTGGAAATAGTAGAAAAATAGTAGAACCAATTGGAAATAGTAGAAAATAGTACGAAAATATTAGAACAATTGGAATTAGTAGAAAATAGTAGGAAAATAGTAGAACAATTGAAAATAGTAGAAAGGTAGTAGAACAATTGGAAATAGTACGGAAAATAGTAGAAAATAGTAGAAAAATAGTAGAACAATTAGAAATAGTAGAAAATAGTACGAAAAATAGTAGACAATTGGAAATAGTAGAAAACAGTACGAAAAATAGTAGAACAATTGGAAATAGTAGAAAATAGTGCGCAAAATAGTAGAGAATAGTAGAAGAATAGAAAGAGTAGAAATAGCTGAAAAATAGTAGAACAATTGGAAATAGTAGAAAATAGTACGAATAATAGTAGAAAAATAGTAAAACAATTGGAAATTAAAGAAAATAGTACGAAAAATAGTAGAACAAATGGAAATAGTAGAGAATAGGACGAAAAATATTAGAACAATTAGAAATAGTAGAAAATAGTTCGAGAAATAGTACAAAATAGTTGGAAAATAGTATAACATTTGGAAATAGTAGAAAATAGTAAAAAATAGTAAAAAAAAATAATAGAAAAATAGTAGAACAATTGAAAATATTAAACAAATAGTACGAAAAATGGTAGAAAATAGTAAAACAATTGGAAATAGTAGAAATTAGTACGAAAAATAGTAAAAAAAATAGTAGAACAATTGGAAAAAGTAGAAAATAGTTCGAAAAATAGTTGAACAATTGGAAATAGTAGAAAATAGAACAATTCCAAATAGTAGAATATAATAGAAAAAATAGAAGAACAATTGGAAATAGTAGAAAATAGTAGAAATAATAGTAGAAGAATTGGAAATAGTAGAAAAAATAGTAGAACAATTGGAAATTGTAGAAAATAGTATGAAAAATAGTAGAACAATTGGAAATAGTAGAAAATAGTACGAAAAATAGTTTAAAAAATAGTAGAACAATTGGAAATAGTATAAATTAGTACTAAAAGTAGTAGTACAATTGGAAATAGTAGAAGATAATACGAAAAATAGTAGAAAATACAAGAAAAATAGTTGAGCAATTGGAAAAAGTAGAAAATAGTACGAAAAATAGTAAAAAAAATAGTAGAACAATTGGAAGTAGTAGAAATTAGTACTAAAAGTAGTAGTGCAATTGGAAATAGTAGAAAATAATACGAAAAATAGTAGAAAATACTAGAAAAATAGTAGAACAATTGAAAAAAGTAGAAAATAGTACGAAAAATAGTAAAAAAAAATAGTAGAACAATGGGAAGTAGTAGAAAATAGTAAGAAAAAATAGTAGAACAATTGGAAGTAGTAGAAAATAGTAAAAAAAATAGTAGAACAATTGGAAATAGTAGAAAATAGAACAATTGGTAATCGTAGAAAATAGTACAAAAAAATAGTAGAATATAGTTTTAAAAAATAGTAGAACAATTAGAAATAGTATAAAATAGTTCGAAAAATAGTAGACAATAGTAGAACAATTGGAAATAGTAGAAAACAGTACGAAAAATAGTAGTAAAAATAGTAGAACAATTGAAAATAGTAGAAAATAGTGCGGAAAATAGTAGAAAATAGTAGAAGGATAGAAAGAGTAAAAATAGCAGAAAAAAGAAAATTAGTAGAAAATACAAAAAATAAAAATAGTAGAAAAATAGAAAAATTAAAAATAGAAAAAATAAAAACAGTAGAAAGATAGAAAAAGTAGAGAAATCAGAAATTGTAGAGAAATCAGAAATAGTAGAAACAATAAAATCTACAATAAAATAGAAATTTGATTTAAAAAATAGGCAAACAAAGAACAGACTAGACCAAAAAAAATAACAAACTCGAAGAAAAAAAATAGTCAAAAGAAAAAAAGTAGCCTTTGAATAATATCCTCTAGCACATACACGCACTAGTACAGGACGTAACCCCTGTAGAATAGCTTCCCGTTGAATAAATACGCCTTTGTGTATCCGCTGCCCCTGAGAGCTTTCCATCCCACACACATACACACATCGACATATTTAGTCCTTTATCAGGGGCTTCGGCCCCATTTTTCCAAGTTCCATCATTATTATTGCACGCGACATCTTTCGGTCAAAACATTTTTTTCACAAAAAGGGGAAGACGCGCGCGCGCGCAATTCTGCAATTATTTATACAATCTTTTTGTATAAATATTTCTTCTGCTTACTATTCTTCCCACAACCTAACAGCACGATACCTAATATATTTATTTTCCCCATAGAAATCCATCTTAATTTTTTTTTTCTTTAATTTCTTCTAAGGAAAGTTTTAAGAAAATTTGCCTATAGGTATTAACTAATATACCAAATAACTAACTTACTAATTAATTAACTTACTAACTAACTTGCTTACTTAACTTAGTGACTAAGTAACTTAATAATTTACTGACTTACTAACTTATTTACCAACCAACTTACTTATTTAACTTAGTTACTAACGATCTAACTCATTTACTAACGAACTAACTTATTTACCAACGAACTAACTCATTTACTAACGAACTAACTTATTTACCAACGAACTAACTTATTTACCAACGAACTAACTTATTTACCAACGAAATAACTTATTTACCAACCAATTTACTTATTTAACTTAGTTACTAACTAACTAATTAACTAACTAACTTACTTACTAACTACCGTACTAACTAAATATTTAACTAACTAGTTAAGTAATTTACTATCTAACTTAGTAAGATAGTAAGTAACTAAGTAAGTTAGTTAGTAAATTAGTTCGTAACTAAGTTAACTAGTCAGTTAATTAGTTAGTAACTAAGTTTAGTTAGTAAGTTAGTTAGTTGAAAAGTTAATTAGTAATTAAGTTTGTAAGTAAGTTAGCTAATTAGTTAGTAAGTTAGTTAGTTAGTTAGTCAGTTAATTATCAATTAATTTTGTTAGTTAGTTAGAAAGTTAGTTAGTAAGATAGTTAGTAAATTAGTAAGTAATTTAGTTAGTATGTTAGTAAGTTAGTTAGTAAGTTAGTCAAAAAATTAGTTTGTATGGTAGTTAGTAAACTAGTTTATAGCTTAGGAAATATGCAGTAAAAATCTCTTTACTCTGTATTCTAGTTTAATATTAAGATAATGCAGTCAGATAGCGCGTAACCTTGCAGAAACCTTGCGGAAAAATTGAAGCAATCTTTATACGTCAAGCTTGTAGCAACGTTGCCATTATATTATGTAAAAGCTTACTTTCTGCTTTTAATTTTCTTTTTGCAATATTAAAATGATATTAAAATATTTATGTTAATTTAGTTCAGTGAAATGAAATTGTTTGCTGCAAGATTGCGTGCCAGTTAGTTAGAGTGAGTGTTTTGAAAGAGACTTACGTGGAAAGATGACGGGCGGATGATTCTGTGCATTGTGTGCATTATTGTGTATGTGGCCCGGTGTTGACGCTCGCTGTCTGCAAAAGCACAACACACCGGCGGCGACGATTCCCACCATACTTAAAATCACAAAAACCATTGCCACTGCAAACAACGTTGTCTCCATGCCGAGAATTATTGACGCCTCCGGATCTTTGAAAACAATTAATAATAATTAAAAAATTTCAATTATTATTATTATTATATTTATTTAGTATTTATACTATTCAAATTCTTGTCTTTTTTGTTTCCTTACTTTATTGTACTATTATTATTATCTAAATATTTAATAAAAACATAAAATTGAAAAATAGTGAAAAAAAAAAGTTTTTATTATCGACTGTTTATAATGCAACAATCTTCATTATCATCTGTGGGTAAAATTGCCAATTTCTTTATCGATTGTCGATATAAAAAAAACATTTCTTTTTTTTAACTCATTTTCGTTTGTTTTTATTCACAGTTTTTCTAAGGATATCAAATTGAGACAAAAAACGAGTCAAAAATGTTGCGTTTTTTGTCTCAATTTAATCTCCTTAGAAAAATTATGTTTTGAAAAAGAAGAAAAAAATAGATTGTGTAAAAAATTATCTGTTAAACATTATCGACTGTTGGTAATACTACAATCATCATTATCACCTGTCGATAAAGTTGCAATTTTCTTGATCGACTGTCGATATAGTAAAAACTTTCCTTTTCTACAAAATTTGAATATTCTTTATTTAAATTTTTAAAGTTCTTTTTTTCGAAAAAAAGAAAAAAATTTACTTTTTTTTGCTAACAAGATAAAATCTTTGTTTTTTTTTGTTTTTTCCTTTTTTTGGGGTGGGCAGGGTAATCGATACAAAACATGTCAGTAAACATTTACTTTAACGAATTGTTTCCGTTTATCAATATTTTCAATTGCATTTTCCCAGATCCGAAAATAATTGTGCTCGTTAATACTGGAATAAATTGGATGAAATTCATTTGAGCGATGGCAAATATTGTAAAATGGCTTAATAATAAAAGTGCAGTGAACCGAAAAATAATGACAAGAAAATAAATAAAAAGAAATCATATTTTTTTTTGTTTTATAGACGAACAATAATTTTTTTTTTAATACAAATTCTTCTATATCTACATTACTCGCTAAATTTGAATTAGTTAAAAACCTTTAATTATTTTTATAAAATAAAAAATTTTTCACAGAAATTCAATTATTTACAAATTTTTTCTTATAAATGTCTTCGCGATAAGAATTTTATTATAATTATTGAAAATAATTGAATTCTTTATAAAATTTAATTATTTAAAATTTTTTTAATAAATACGTTACAAGAATTCAATGATTTTCAGTTATTTTTAATTTTTGGTCCATAAAGTTCGTATTTTTAAATACTTTCACTGGTTCGAGCCCTGGAATAATTACCCTAATAATAAAAAATGATAGAAATGTTATAATGATACCAATAATAAATATTAATAAAAAAAAATAATAAAAAGAAGAAAATAGAAAAGAAGGGAAATTTCTCACTGGCACAGAGAGTGGAAGCTGCCTCGTCGGAACCATCCTCGCAATGTCGAATACCATCACAAACGAGATCAGTGTCGATGCAAAATTCCTTAGTGGTGCACCGAAAGTCCTTGCAGGCGTGTTCTGTAAAATGGAAAGGAATTTTTGCATTTAGAAAAAGGAAAATTGTTTATTTCTTCTTTACTTTTTTTTTTATTAAAAAGTGTTGTCTCAATAACTTTTTTAGAATTAGAGAATTAAAGCAGTTTTTGGTAATTATATTAAGAAATTTAGAGAAAGGGTTAAAAAATTTCCTTTAGTGAAAATAAGAGAGTGCCTCCTCTTGTAAAGGCCACACTGACAACTTAATTTTCCCTCTCGACAACATAGTCGGTATACAGATGCAACGCACAGAGTAGACACACGAACGGAAACTAATGAAGTTGTGCATTTCCATTAAGTAACATAGTCAAGCAACATTTCGCCAAACATTAGTCTCCCATTCGCCCAATATGGGCACACACACAAAGCACTATAACAATTTTAAATTTAGAGACAAGTGTTTTTGTTCTATTTTGTTTTTTTAATCAAAAATAAAGCTAATTATTTGTGTCCATTTATATTTTTTTCTCTTTTGCTTTTTTTTAAAGATTAGGATGTCTATAAACTAGGGGTTTATAAATTCGGGGGTTTATAGATTAGTGATAGTAATAGCGACTGTAATAGTAATAGTAATAGTAAAACTGATAGTAATAATAATAATAGTGATAGTAATAAAAGTGATAGTAATACTGATAGTAATACTGATAGTAATAATACTGATATTAGTAATAGTGACAGTAAGAATAGTAATAGTAATAATAGTGGTAGTAATAATAGTGATAGTAGTAGTAAAAGTGATAGTAATAATAGCGACAGTGATAGTCGTAGTAATAGTAGTAGTGATAGTAATAATAGTGATAGTAATAGTGATAATAATAGTGATAGTAGTAGTAATAATAATAATAATGATGATAGTAATAGTGATAGTAATAATAGTGATAGTAGTAATAGTGATAGTAGTAATAGTAATAATAATAGTATATAGTTATGATAGTTATATAGTTATGATAGTGATAGTAGTAGTAAAAGTGATAGTAATAATAGCGACAGTGATAGTCATAGTGATAGTAATAGTGGAAGTAAAGGGAAGTGATAGTAATAATAGTGATGTAGTTGTGATAGTGATAGGAATAATAATGATAGTAATAATAGCGACAGTGATAGTCATAGTGATAGTAATAGTGATAATAATAGTGAGGGGCCATTCAAGTATTACGTAAGAATATTTTTCAGGTTTTTAGACCCCCCTCCCATATGTAAGATTTTTTATATGCATTAGCGACATTTTTTCTAATGGAAATAAGCAATAGGTAGACCCCCCTCCTTCTTAAATGCTTACGTAATACTTGAATGGTCCCTGATAGTAGTAGTAATAATAATAGTAATAATAATAATAGTGTTAGTGATAGTGATAGTGATAGTGATAGTGATAGTGATAGTGATAGTGATAGTGATAGTGATAGTGATAGTGATAGTGATAGTGATAGTGATAGTGATAGTGATAGTGATAGTGATAGTGATAGTGATAGTGATAGTGATAGTGATAGTGATAGTGATAGTGATAGTGATAGTGATAGTGATAGTGATAGTGATAGTGATAGTGATAGTGATAGTGATAGTGATAGTGATAGTGATAGTGATAGTGATAGTGATAGTGATAGTGATAGTGATAGTGATAGTGATAGTGATAGTGATAGTGATAGTGATAGTGATAGTGATAGTGATAGTGATAGTGATAGTGATAGTGATAGTGATAGTGATAGTGATAGTGATAGTAGTGATAGTAGTAGTGATAGTAATAATAGTGATAGTAGTTGTAATAATAGTGATGGTGATAGTAATAGTAATAATGATAGTTGTAGTGATAGTGATAAAGATAGTGAAAGCAGTGACAGCAATATAGTGACAGCGTCAGCGGAAGTTTGTCGAAATTAGCCCCGAGTTGCGGAATGACGAAAAGTGCAATTCGAATGAAATATGGTGGAAGGCATTCGAGTCTGAAATTCTCGCCCCTGTAAGCGGTCTAATGAAACAATATGTCGTCCCTTTTACGGCGTGTGACGGAAGTGCACAATTGTCGTCATTAGCGTCATTAGCGCTGTTAGCATCGTCATCGACGCCATTATCGTAATCGGGTCGCCTTACTCTCTCTCTCTCTCTACCTTCGTGTGCATCGAAATGGCCCACCACACGCAAACCTTCTCCTAATATGCCACAGCCACGCTAACGGATAATGTAGTCTACAGTTAAATAATCTAAACCAATCAAATTCCCGTTTCTCAAAATTTCCACCATCACTATTCCAATAATTATCAATCACAATTTAAGAAGAGGATAAAAACTCTTATTCCTTCTTTTTGCTGTATATAAATTTTTATTAATATCTCATATTTTTCCTCTTCTACTTCTTATTTTCTTTTCCTAATCTTTAACCCCACCCTAATCACTATAATTATCACTATCACTATTAGTATAGTTATAGTACTAACAACAGACTTTTCACTCGATAATTAATTTTGAAAAAGTAGCTTTCAAATAAAATAATTGGATATTTTATAAAAATAATTGAATCGTTTTAAAGAATTTGAGACTATAATTTTTGAGAAGTTTTTTGATTTCTAGTATTAGCGAATTTAAAGTAGTGGAAAATCTAAAAAAAACAGAAGTAGCAGCTTTTTGTGGCTGAAATCGAAAAAAGTACCGAAATAGTAGCACAAGGTAAAAAAGTAGTAAGTAGTAGGTTTTAGTAGACGAGTGCGAAGCCTGTCATAGTAGTACTAGTAATATCAATGGATACTAGAACTCCTATTAGCACTAGTAGTGTCAGCAGTACTATTAGTGCTAGTAGTAATAGTAATACTAGTACGAGTAGTATATGTAGTGATATTAATTCTAATAGTAATAGTAGTAGTGATACTAGTAAAATTACTAGTAGAAAAACTAGTCAAAGTAGTGTTACTAGTAATAGTGGTAATAGTGATAATGAAAGTAGTGTAGTATTACTAGTAATACTACTAGTATTGTTACTAGTAACTAGTAATTAGTAATACTACTATTAGTGATAGTAATACTACTAGTAGTGATAGTAATACTACTAGTAGTGATAGTAATACTACTAGTAGTGATAGTAAAAGTAATATTACTAGTAATACTACTGATATTGTTACTAGAAACTATAAATTAATAATACTACTAGTAGTGTTACTAGTAATAATAGTTACTAGTAGTGTTACTAGTAATAATAGTTACTAGTAGTGTTACTAGTAATAATAGTAGTTAATAGCTACTAGTAGTTGTAATAGTACCAGTAGTGGTACTGGTAACAGTACTGTTAGTGTTACCAGTACTAGTGATGTTACTAGTACTAGTACTAGTAGTGGTATTAGTACTATTACTAGTAGTGGTATTAGTAATAGTAGTTGAAGTAGTTGTATTAGTATTAGCATTGTTACTATTGAAAGAAGTGATATTGGTAATAGTACTAGTAGCAGTATTATTATTATTACTAGTACAAGGAGTTATACTAGTAGTACTACTAGTAGTGGTGATGTTGGCAGTAAAGTACAACCGAAAGGGTAATCAAGTCGTGTGTATACTCGCTGGAGAGGAAAGAGAAAAGAGAGAAGAGCTGGCAGCACTTTTTTAAGGTTAAATGTAGCAGAAAGGTGGTAAGAAGTGTACATGGAGGGAGACAAAGTAGATTAGAGTGTGTGTCAGGGTGAGAGTTTTGTTCGGAGAGAGAGTGCAGCCTCCAAAGAGAATTAGTGCACATATATGTGTACAAGAGCGCAAGAAGAAGCAAAATGGGGTGAGTTGGCACACGGGGGTGGTATTGGCCTGGGGTGCGAGAGCGAAAAGGGGGTAATTTCCATATGGATGATTCTCATACAGAGAGAGAGAGAGAGAGAGAGAGAGAGAGAGAGAGAGAGAGAGAGAGAGAGAGAGAGAGAGAGAGAGAGAGAGAGAGAGAGAGAGAGAGAGAGAACTCACACGGTTAGAATTCGAGAGCAGTTTGTACGAGCAAATAATGCGTTTATGCATTTGCATGATGCTTCCGTAACGCGAACCACTGCTTCAAACCGCACTCGCCCCGCTGAACTTTAAACGAAAACCCTTAAGCATGTACTCTGCATAAAATCTATTTTTATGTTCGCTGAATTGCCTTTCGAAAATTACTTTTTAGAAATAATATTCAAAAATAGAATAAGGAAAAATATTTATGGAAACAAACTGCCGGGCAAATCGTTTATAATTTTTCCTCAAAATTCATTTTCTCCTCCTTCCTTCTTTTTTTCTTTTCTTCTTTTTTCAAACATAACAATTCGGTATATTGTGATTTTTTCACTCTCCTTGACATGGAAAAAGAAGCGAGAGAAAAAGAGAGAGAGAGAAAGAGAGCGAAACGATTCAGACGAGAATTTAATAGCTTTGACCGAAACTTTTTTAATATCGCTCTAGATAGCAAAGAGATTACAACAGTGTTACGAAAAAAAAGAATAAAAAAATCTTACCCGTGGAAAAAGAATTTCCCATTATCCATCGTCCATTTATAATAAATAGAATTTGCTTTTATTTATTGAATTGAAGAAATTTGCCGTCTACAACCTTTATTTACTTGATACCCTCTGTAATTAAAAAGCTAAACCAAAAAAATATCCTAAAAACCTTCAAGAAACACATTTTTTTTCTTTTTTCCCATTTTTCTCGAAGTCCTAAAGTTTCTGTCAATTTTGACCCACTGCATCGTATTCAGCGTCCAAAAATACATTGAAAACCACTCCCATGTCGAAAATAACGAAAAAAAAAATTTTTGAGTTAATTACCCCACTTTTTTTTAAATTTTGACGAGTTAACAAATTTTGAGTCATAGGATCGTCTTTAGTGGACGAAAATACATAGGATATCACTCCAATAAAGTCTTAAATTAAAACTTGTAATGTACTTTAAGATCCTTTGCGCAGGACCAAAAATATAAAAAATTTTTTGAAAAAAGTGGGGGTAAAAGCCAAAAAAAATTTTTTTTTGTTATTTTCGATATGGGAGTCGTTTTCAATGTATTTTTGGACGCTGAATACGATACCGGAACCTAAAATTGTCTATCGCGTCACGATTTTGAGAAAAGTAGGAATAAACATTTAAAAAAATGTATTTTCTGGTCCTTTTTACCCATTTTTCTCAAAATTCTCTATTTTTTTGCTCTTATGCCTAGATTGTCTCGTAGTGTACGTTTCAAAGTACAATTTAAGACTTCATGGAAGTCTCTAGAACAACAGGTTAAAGAGAAAAAAAAATTCGAAAATATTAAAAAAAAAAAAAAAAAGGAAACAGAAGAAGCAGGAACAGAACGAAAAAGTAAGAGAAAATAAAAAGAAAAAGAAAACCTGAAATTGAGCAATTGTTTCCAAAATTTATATACATATTCCACTTCCGAGCGAGCATCTTCTGAAGGAACACGTCGCGTCGGAAAAATTGTGATTCATATGTCGCATTCAACTTCCGCCCGGTTCGCTCCTCTTGTATATATCCGCGCGCCTCTTTTTGCATATACACATTCATTTCTTTTTCTCTTCCTAACTCTTCAAGTTTTTCCTATTTTTCTCGCATCTTGTTTTCTTTTTCCATTTTCCTCCTCTTTCTCTTTCTTCTTTTTCTTTATTTTTTTCAATATTTTTTTTTGTTTTCTTTCCGATTTCAATTTCAGATCGTCGTCGTCGTCGAAAGGACATACACACACACAAACACCCACACACTTTCAATATACGCGCCATCTTCGACGACTGCAACCCACCCGCATATCGATTTCGTATGTCGCCATATCGCGGTCAACTTTTCTTTTTCCTTCTTTCTTTTTTCCCCATTTTTTTTATTCGTCACCAGAATTTCCTCTGATCGCATATATATACAACGATGCATCCCAAAGCTGGTTTTATATAAGCCCCATCACCCCCCCCCCCCCACCCCTCCTCCCACCTCTCTTCACCTTCCGAGAAAAACCATTTCTAGGACAGTTTGACGAAAATAAATCTCCCTCTCTCACTCGCTCTTCTCATTCTTTGGGTGAAAAAATATTTGCTTGCCCATCGATTTTCTCATCAGTGGGATAAGTCCTGAATATGCGAAAAATATGTTATATTTTATAAATAAAGGCTTTGCACTTATACTCATCTACTAAAATCTACTATTTACTACTTTTTCTACTATTTGTTACTATTTGGGTTCTTTTTTTAGATTTGAGCCACTAAAAGCTACTATTTCTGTTTTTTGAGAATTTCCACTACTTTAAATTCGCTAATACTGGAAATTAAAAAACTTCTTTAAAAATTCTAGTCTCAAATTCTTTGAAATGATTCAATTAGGTATTTTTGAAAAATATTCAAAATTCTATTTTCAATTTCTAGTATTTTCATCAAATTTCGCAAATCAATTCAATTATATATTAAAAAAGTAAAATTTATCCAAAATTCAATTATTTTCATAAATAATAAATTTTCCATTGCAATTCAATTAATTTAGAATAGCAACTTCAAAAAGATTTTGAAAAAATTAATTATTTAACAAAATTTTTAATACAATCACAATAATTCAATTACTTTCACTAATAATAACATTTTTTATGGAAATTCAATTTTTTAAAAAAAAAATTTCATAAATTTCTAAGCAAGAATTTAATTATTTTCATAAATAAAAAATAAAACTCATCGAAGAATTTCAATTATTTTTAATAGGATTTCAAATTATTTAATCGAAAAATTCAATTATTTTCACAAATAAAATTATCCAGAAGAATTCAATTATTTAAAATAAAATTTTCATAATATTTATTATATTTCGAAAAAAAATTCATTATTTAAAACAATTTTTATAAAATTCTCACGAAAAATTCAATTATTTTCAAAAATAAAAAAATTTTTCACTAAAATTCAATTCTTTTTAAACATTTCTCGCAATAATTCAATTTTTTTTATAAAAAATAAAATTCTTCTCAGAAATTTAGTTATTTTTATTACAACTTTACAGAAATTGCTCCAAAAAAAAGTAATTATTCGAAAAAATTTAATTTCAATTTCTCGAAAAAATCAATTATTTAAAAAAAAAAGTCTTTAAAATTCTGTGTAAAAATTCAATTA